CAGCTCAACCAGGATAGTAGAACGACTGAAAAAAGAATAAGTAAAAACATTAAAAAAAAAAAAAACATTTACAAGTTTGGTAAGTAGTGAAGCTGTAGAATCAAACCTTGGCTGAGCGCTCTGCAGTTTCTGCCTTCTTTTCAGCGTCATAGAAAACACAGTTTTAGAGTTTTAGAGTGAAGAGCAGACAGTGCTGTAAAAACAGATTCATGTGCATAAATACTAAATCATGTTAAAGGCATGTGTTTACTGAGTTATTAGGGTTTTGATAAGTAGAGGTAGAGATGTACCTGTAATTCGGTCCAGAGTTTAACTGTCATGCTGCACTCTGTATCTCTGTGGGTCCCAGTCGTTTGACTCTTGCTCAACAGCTTTCAGCTGTTTTTTAATGTTAAACTCTTCACATGCATCCTTAAATTAAAAACACATATGTGTCATTTATCATAGTAGTAGCAGATTGATTTATTTGATTTACTGAATCATAATTTCCAAGCACCGAGGGAAATCTCACCAACCATAAAAGCAGTGCAAACCCAGGCAGAGAAAGCCTCGTCCTGTCCATTAAGTTCATCTCCCTCTCCTGTGACAGTCAGACGCTTGGCCCCCAGCTCAGCAAGTTTGTCATCCACAGCATGGGCAAAGGCACAGAATTGTGGGTAAACACGTGAGCCAAGGCCAAACACACTGTACCTGTAGTGAGAAGAGCAAGTCAGGGCTTCTGCACTACAACAGCATATTTACAGGTGAAGAGTGAAAATCTTTGCAGTTCTAGGCTACACACCTGACAGTGTTTTTGGGGTTTTCAAGTTGAAAAGCTGCTCCTTGAAACTCTGAGGAAAAGGAAATATTAATGTAATAGTAATGTATCATGATATGATACATTACATTGTCATAAAATGATAACATGAACATATTAATGTGTCAATAAAGTGTGTAGAATTTGCAAGGAACCAAAATCAATTTTGAATTCCTCTGGAAATTATTATTTTTATACACTACTGTTCAAATGTTTGGAGTCAGTTTTTATAATGTAACAAAAAAAATTCTATTTCAAATCAATGTTTTTCTTTTGACCTTCATGTTCATTAAAGAATACTGAAAAGAAGTATCACGGTTTCTACAGAAATATTATGAACTGTTTTCAGCACAGCAATTCTAATATCAACATATTAGAATTATTTCTGAAGGATCACGTGACACCAAAGACTAGAGTAACGGCAGCTGAAAATTCAGCTTTGTATCACAGTTATTATTTACATCTTAAAATATATTAAAATAGAAAACAGTTATTTTAAATTGTAGTAATAAATATTTTTTTATCAAATAAATGCAACCTTGCTGAGCATAAGAGACTTCAAAAATCTTACTGGAAAAAAAATGTCCCCAAACTCTTGACTTGTAGTGTATTGATTTGATATATTTACATATTATATATAATTATTTGCAATATTATTCCCATACCACTCCATTTCCTGGGTTTTCTCCATTGCCAAAAGTACAAGTGACCACCATCAGAAGGCTTTCTGTCTCAAGCTCACTGAAATCATAGTCCTCCATGCATACCAGCTATATTAGAAAACAAGAATAAATGTTGTTGCTCATATACTGATCTGATATTATTACAATATTAGAAAAGCATTTTTTAAAGACAGCATTTCTTACCCTGGATTCAACGGCACGGTTGAGCATAGTGTTCAGTTTTTTGGCAAAGGTCAGTGACTTCCCTGTTTCTGTGGCATAGAGAACAGTGCAGTGCACCCTCATGGCCATGACTGCTTTGATGAGCGTTTGAGAAAAAAACACCACTCTAAAAAGAAAGAACACAAGTATTTTAATGTAAATGGCATTGGTAGTTGGCATGAATGTAATGCAGTGTTGCTTTGTTTGGTGAAGTTGCTGGTCTGTACCTTATGAGTCCTTTGAAGCTGACCTTACATCTCCGAAGTCCTTTCTTCTCATCTTTCCACTTGCGTGTTAACCATGCATCAGCCTTCAAAAACAGCATACATTTACACCACATTTACACTGCTGAAGTCAAAGTTTTCTTTATAAAACACTACCGTTAGGGATTCGTTTGGGATAAAGTTTGATACCTGGTAATAGAAGAAGGGAGAAAGGATGTAGTTGAGCATCTCCTGATGGTACACGGAGGTGAGGGATCCAGACATGGGCGGGACCAACCACACCCAATCAGCTGGACAGCCTCCACGCAGACGGACTTCTGTCTCCAAGTGCTGCACGAAGGACTCGCTTGCTGAATGGTGGTCCGTGATGGTGACCTTATTTTTCTGCAGGACAATGTAACAACATCAAAACCAATAAATATCCGAATGGCTTTATCAACTTTCCAAAATCTATTTTCATGAAAATGATTTCAGAAGCAATAACAGTGAGGCTGCAGCTTCCTGAATCAATAAGCATATCAATATTATGCATATAACAGGACAAAAATGGAAGGACAGTTTACCTGGTAGCTATGAATCACTGCAACACTGATAGCCACAAGTGCCTGGTCTTTCCACAGTGAAGACAGCTTGCGTGTCTCTAAGCCCACTAGCTGGCCAACATGCTACAAGAAATAAAGCAATAAAAGCAAAACATCAGTATCAAAAGTATCAGGATGTGCTAAGCTATTGTCATGAGACAGTGAAGCCGAACTACCTCCAAAATGAATAAATATAACTCTATAAAATTCATGTTACCACAAAAATATGTAGAAAACAAATTTATCCCCCGTTCCCTGCAATGACCCAAAACACTTACTCTGGGTGCTCTATTGGGACCTCCAGGATCAGTTCTGGAGGAATATCGAAAACTTCAGGGTCCTCTCTGTTTGCCTGCAGGACCAGTGGAAGCACATCAAAGCGACCATACTTTGGTTTCCATCCCAGCTGAATACACACCTATAAAAATAGTGAAAATTTCCAGCGGAAATTTTAAGACATTGTATAAAACATTGTAAAACAGACATTGTATACATTTTTTAAGACATTGTATAAAACAGTGGACATATATTTGTCAGACTCAATGCTTCTATTTTGGTTACCTGTGGAAACTCTATGGGCTTACATTTCTGCCACAATTCTGCGCGCGAAAGATCATATTTTGAGCGCACAAAAGTGCATTTTGCACACGCGCGATCTGAGTTTGTGGAGAAAATGTTCGTTTCGCAAAGAAAAAAGTCTTTCGAGCGCACGGAAATCAATTTTGCATTTAAAATACGTTTTTGGATGTGTGCAGACCTTCTCTTTTGCGCTGCAAGGTTTCACTAGCTTGCTCACCTGATGCCCCCTCTGTGCTCGCTAAATGCCAACAGCTTGCGTGCTCAACACAACCCAGCGTTACAATGTGCCATAATTCCAGCCAATCAGAGACCGAGGTGCTAAATTCTGATTGGCTGCCTTGACAACCAATCACAACATTTCTTGCATTACCTCGACGGCAGAAGTGGGAAAATACAGTGCATGCATAATTATTATGCAAGTTGATATTCTGAT